TGTATATACCAGTACACACACACACACACACACACACACGTTTACTTGGCTATCTAAATGGGGAATTACAATGACTTTTATTGTTTTTATATACAGATAGTTATACACCTTTTAACCTAAACCCACCCCTACCCCTCACAGAAAACATTCTGCATTTTTATAATTTAAAAAAAGTTTTTTTTTAATATATTTTAATATTAAATATTTTTATACCAGTTTTACAAATGAGGACGGCCTCAAATGGCGATTTTGTCAGGTTTAGCTCACTTTTAGGTACAAATTTGTCCCCAAAATATGATCAAGTAGGTACACACACTCACACACACTCTCTCTCACACACACACACACTCACGCACACACACACTCACACACGTCTGGTGCACTATCCTTGTAGGGACTCTCCATAGGCGTAATGGTTTTTATACTGTACAAACTGTATTTTCTATCGCCCTACACCTAAACCTACCCCTTACAGGAAACTTTTTGCATTTTTACAATATCAAAAAAACTCATTCTGTATGATTTATAAGCTTCTATACCCATGGGGACCTCAATTTAGGTCCCCACGGTGCAGCACAACCGCACACAGCAGGAGTGTGTGATTTACAGCACGTCTGCACCAGGAGAGTGTGATTCACAAGCACAAACATTCCTTCACAACATTCACACTCAGCATCCTTCTCACACTTCGCTCTCTAACTGAAGTCTTCCATCACTGCTGTGCGAAAGAGCGAAAGAGACGCTGGTAAGATTTTACACTGGAAATTACAGCTTTTCACCTCAGGATTGGAGCTGAAGGCATTTGGCAGCTGGTGATTTGTTTTAAGCCCTATGTGTCTCATGATTTGTCTAGAGACGACGATAATATAGCAACACAAACACCATTCAGAGCTTTATACTGCGTAGTGTTTGTGAAATGCACATCGATCAAAAGTTTGGGGTAGGTATGATTTTTTTTTACGTTTTTGATGAAGTTTCTGCCCACCAAGGCTGCATTCATTTGATCAAAAATACTGTAAAAAATTGTGAAATACTATTACAAAGTAAAATAATGGTTTTCAATTGAAATAAATCCGAAAAACCAGGTAACTGCAACTTTTTATCCCACAATTTGAGACAAACTCAGAATTCTGATATTTCTTACAATTCTGTTTTTTTGTTGCTGCCACGAAATATAAAATAAAACCAGTAATTGTGACATTTCATCTCACAATCGCAAGTTTATAATGTGGAATTGCAAGACATGAACTTGCATCTGACAATTCACTTTTTTCCCCCTCAGAACTTTACCGCTCACTTTTTTCTATTTTGCTGCTGCCACGGAATAAAAAATAAAACTGGTAATTTTTATCTCACAATTCTGAATTGATATATCGCAATTCTGTGTTTTTTCTCAAAATTGCAAAAAATTTAAATAAAAATTGGAATTGTAAGATATAAACTCAGACAAAAAAGTCAGAATTGTGATATAAAGAAACAAAATTAATTTTTTATTCCATGGTGGAAACAGGCTTCCATCAAAATTTATTTCTGTAATCAAAGCTGAATTTTCAGCATCATTCCTCCAGTCTTCAATGTCACATGATCTTCAGAAATCATTCTAATATGCTGATTTATTATCAATGT